GAGTTCTGCCTCTAGGAGGCCTCCTTTTGAGCCTGGCAGACTGGCCAAACTAGCCAATCACAGCATCATAACTCTAAGCACCTGAGAGAGAGTGGGAACCTCCTAGAACATTGTTTTGTGTCACTCCCAACAGAAATACTCCAGGTGGGCGACTTTAGCAATCAGGATCTCCTCAGTTGCTAATAGCAATTCCCACCTCGGAGTTTACAAAGACTTATGGGTAGAAAAGCCACACTAAGTAATTTACTACACCGCAATAATATATGTTAATTGTAGAAGAATTTAGAAAGTACAAAAGAAACAAAATAAAAAGACTAAAAATCACCTATATTTCCATTAGGAGGTCTGCTGTTGTAGTGCCTAAGGCATTTGACTGCTAACCACAAGGCTAATGGTTCAAACCCACCAGCCACTCCTTGGAAGGAAGGTTGGGCAATCTACTTCCATAGTGATACCACCTCGGAAACCCAAGGAGGGGTTGCTATAATTTGGAGCTGACTTGACGGTAGTGTGTTGCGTTTGTTTGTTTTATATTTCCATTATTTAGAGAAAACTACTACTACATTTTGGTGAATAATTTTCCAGAATTTTTTCCTATGCATAAAAAGTAAGACATGTAACACACACTGAGCAGTGACACGTACCTGGGCAATTGAAATTGTGCCATACAAGCTTATTTAAGAAGCAAAAATCTTCCTTTTGCAAGTGACTCTGGCACCCAGCACCAATACATGTTGGCTGCTCTTGTTTATTACCAATGTTATTATTAATTGTTGTTTAATTGTATCAAATGTTAAAAAATTTAAAATAATTATTTTATATAAGGCTTTTTGCCTTGAGTTGTTTAGAAAGTCTAAAAATACTCAGATTTTATTTTTTATCTTCTTTTTGTTACAGAATACTTCAGAAAGTCACAGCTGTGCCAGAAGTCTCTTAATGGCAGATCGAGTACAAATAGTTGTGATCCTCTCTGAGTTTTTTAGTTCCACATGGCGGGAAGCAAACTGTGCAAGTAGGTAATTCTTTCATTATCATGTAGTGGTTATGGTTTAGTGGTATTGATGTCAGATTCTATTTTAGTGAATTCTGGAATCTTTGAACTGGATAACACCTTTTATTTACTAAGTTGAAATAAATTATGGTTAGTATTATAGTTTATTAGTGATAAGTACTTGGGCAAATAATGGGAGAAAGTGTAGCAGTTAGAATAAGACCGGGGTTTGCCACTGATTGAAGAAGCTATGTTGGTGCAGTGCCTAAGGTATTTGACGCTAACCAAAAGATTGGTGGTTCAAATCCATTAGCCACTCGGCAGAAGGAAGACAGCGCAATCTAAATCTAAAGATTTACTGCCTCGGAAACCCAGTGGGGGTTGCTATGAGTCAGAATCAACTTGATGGTAATAGGTTTGGTTTTTTTTTTTGTTGTTGTTGTTGCTACTTAATGAGCCTTGGTGGCACATTGATCAAAGTGCTTGGCTGCTAACTGAACCCACTCTGTGGGAGAAAGATAAGGCAGACTGCTTCTATAAAGATCACAGCATAGGAAGCCCTATAGGGCAGTTCTACTCTGTCCTGTCCACTACCTGTCTATCAGTTTGTTGTATTATGGTTGCTTGCAAGTCGCTGTGAGGCTGGAAGCTATGCCACTGGTATTCACATACCAGCAGAGTCATCCATGGTGGACAGGTTTCAGCGGAGCTTCCAGACTAAGACAGACTTGGAAGAAGGAAAGGGCCACCCACTTCTCAAAGAACTGGCAAGTGAAAACCTTATGAATAGCAGTGAAGCACTGCCTGATATATTACTGGAAAACTTTATGAATAGCAGTGAAATATTATCTGATGCAGTGCTGAATGATGAGCCCCTCAGGTTGGAAGGCACTCAAAATATGACTGAGGAGGAGCTGCCTCCTTAAAGTAGAGTTGACCTTAGTGATGTGGATGGAATAAAGCTTTTGGGACCTTCTTTGTTAATGGGATTTGACTCAAAATGGAAGAAATAGCTGTATACATTCATTAATAATCAGAACATAGAATGTCTGATCTATGAATCTAGGAAAATTGGAAGTTGTCAGAAATGAAAGCGAATACATAAAGATTGACAACCTAGCATTAGTGAGCTGAAATGGACTGGTATTGGCCACTTTGAATCTGATAGTCATGTAGTCTTCTATGCTGAGAATGACAAATTGAAGAGCAATAGCATCACATTCATTGTCAAAAAGAACATTTCAAGATCTGTCCTCAAGTACACTGCTGTTAGTAATAGGATAATACACATACACCTACAAGGAAGACCAGTTAATACTACTATTACTTGAATTTATGCACCAACTACTAAAGCCAAAAAGAAAAAACTGAAGATTTTTACCAACTACTGCAGTCTGAAATTGACCAAACATACAATCAAGATATATGAATAATTATTATTGTTGATTGAAATGAGCAAATTGGAAACAAAGAAGAATCATTAGTAATTGGCAAATAATGGCCTTCATGATAGAAGGACTCCAGAGATCACATGGTAGAATTTTGCAAAACCAATGACTTGTTTATTACAAATACCCTTTTTTCAACAACATACATGATAACTGTACACTTGGACCTTGCCAGATGGCACACACAGGAATCAAATTGACTACATCTATGGAAAGAGGCGATGGAGAAGCTCAGTGTCATCAGCAAAAGCAAGGCCAGGAACAGACCATCAATTGCTCATATGCAAGTTCAAGTTGAAGCTGAAGAAAATTGAAACAAGTCAATAAGAGCCAAAGTATGACCTGATTATATCCCATTCAGATTTAGAGACCATCTGAAGAGTAGCTTTGACGCATTGAACACCAGTGACTGAAGACCAGATGAGTTGTGGGATGATATCAAGAACATCATATGTAAAGAAAGCTACAGTTCGTTAAAAAGACAAGAAAGGAAGAAAAGACCAAAATGGATGTCAGAAGAGACTCAAACTTGCTTTTGAGTGGAGAGTAGCAAAAGCAAGTGGAAGAAATGATGAAATAAAAGAACTGAACAGAAAATTTCAAAGAGCAGCTCAAGAAGACAAAGTAAATTATTATAATGAAATGTGCAAAGACCTATAGTTAGAAAACCAAAAGGGAAGAACACACACAGCATTTCTCAAGCTGAAAGAACTGAAGAAAAAACTCAAGCCTCGAATTTCAATGTTGAAGGATTCCGTGGGCAAAATACTGAATGGTTCAGGAAGCATCAAAAGAAGACGGAAAGAGTACACAGAGTCACTGTACCAAAGAGAATAGTTGATGTTCACCCATTTTACAAGGTAGCGTATGATCAAGAACCAGTGGTATTGAAGGAAGAAGTCCAAGCTGCACTAAAGGAATTGGCGAAAAACAAGGCTCCAGAAATTGACAGAATACTCACTGAGATGTTTTGACAAATGGATGCAGTGCTGGAGGTGCTTACGTGTTTATGCCAAGAAATTTGGAAGACAGCTACTTGGGCAGCAGACTGGAAGAAATCCATATTTGTGCCCATTCCAAAAAAAGGTGATTCAATAGAAGGCAAAAATTATCAAAGAATGTCATTAATATCACACGCAAGTAAATTTTTTGAATAGTGTTCAAAAACGGTCGCAGCAGTGTATCGACGTTCGGAAATTCGAGCTGGATTTGGAAGACAATGTAGAACAAGAGGTATCATTGCTGATGTCAGATGGATCTTTGCTGAAAGAATACTAGAAAGATGTTTCCCTGTGTTTTATTGACTATGCAAAGGCATTTGACTGTGTGGATCGTAAATTGTGGATAACATTGTGAAGAATGGGAATCCCAGAACACTTAATTTGTGCTCCTGAGGAACCTGTACATAGACCAAGAGAACAAGGGGATACTGCATTGTTTAAAATCAGGAAGGGTGTTGGGGTTGTATCCTTTCATCATACTTACTGAATCTGTATACTGAACAAATAATCTGAGAAGCTGGGCTAGATGAAGAAGAATGAGCATCAGGATTGGAGGAAGACTGATCTGCAACCTGTGGCATGCAGATGACATAACCTTGCTTGCTGAAAGTGAAGATGACTTGAAGCACTTACTGATGAAGATCAAAGACTACTGTCTTCAGTATGGATTACACCTCAACATAAACAAACAAACAAACAGAGTCTCCACAACTGGACCAGTAAGCAGCATCTTGATAAACAGAGAAAAGATTGAGGTTGTTGGGATTTCATTTTACTTGGATCCATAGTCAAAGATCCTGGAAGCAGCAGTCAGGAAATTAGACATCATATTGCACTGGGTGAATCTACTGCAAAAGACTTCTTTAAAGGGTTAAGGAACAAAGATGTCACTTTGAAGACTAAGGTGTACCTCATCCAAGCCATGGTATTTTCAGTCGCCTCATATGCGTGTGAAAGCCAGAGGGTGAATAAGGAAGACTGAAGAAGAGTTGATGCCTTTGAATTGTGGTGTTGGCAAAGAATACTGAAAATACCATGGACTGCCCAAAGACCAAACAAATCTGTCCTACAAGTTCAGCCAGAATGCTTCTGAGAAGCAAGACTAGCCAGGCTTTGTGTCACGTACTTTGGTCATGTTGTCAGAAGGGACCAGTCCCCTGGAGAAGGATATCATGCTTGGTAACATGGAGGTTCGGCAGAAAAGGGGAAGACACACAGTGAGATGGATTGACGCAGTGAGTATAATGGTCGGCTCAGGCATAGCAGGGATTGTGAAGATGGTGCAGGACCAGGCAGTGCTTTGTCCTGTCGAATACAGGGTTGCTGCGATTCGGAATCTACTCGACGGCAGTGGGTTTGGTGGTTTTAGTTTTGCCACTTCTTAGATGTATCTTGCTAGCTGTCAACTTTGGTCAAGTAACTTCCCCTGTCGAACTTCAGTTTCTTCATCTGTAATTTGATGGCTATAATGGAACCTACCTTATACCATTGTTTCGAGGATTAAATTAAATAAAATTTTCAAAGCATTTATTAGCTCATTGCCTGGCATGTAGTTAATGCTCAAGAAATACAAACTGCTTAATACAACAATAATTATGCTGATAATAATAATCTGTCAAATGATGATGCATTTCCTAGCTTTGCAGGTTTGTCCACATGTTTGTGTAATGAGATCAATTTTCAGATATTGTTTGGAAAATTAAAATTACTATTTCAATTCAGAAGTGTTTTTAAATAATAACTGTGTGCTAGGTGGGAGCTCTGGTAGTGTAGTGCCTAAGGCATTTGACTGCTAACCAGAAGGCTGGTGGTTCAAACCCACCAGCTACTCCTTGGAAGGAAGGTTGGGCAATCTACTTCCGTAGCGATACTGCCTTGGCAACCCAAGGAGGAGTCACCATGAGTCAGATTCAACTTGACGGGTAGTGTGTTGCCTTGTTTCGTTGTTGTGTAGGCAGTTCTTGTTTCTTGTCTTTCAAGCCTTAAAATTTTGCAAAGGAGAGATACATTTACACATACAACCTAAGGCAAATAAATGCCTTAATAAAATTATGAAGTCCTTTGGGGAAATGGAAAATAATCTTACTTGGGGAGGGGTTGAGATGAGTCCTAGAGGAGCACGTTTTGAATTAGTTCTTAGTAGAGATCAGAAGGGCATTGCAGATACAGAGACATTATGTTCAAGGCACAGAAGTATAAATGGGATAGTGATGATCCAGGGACCGAGAAGCATAACAGCAGATAAAATTGGAAAGGAAAGATAAGACCTTGACTGATAGGAATTTAGCGTTTAGGCCAGCGTTTTTCAAACTGCCTAAACACCAGCATGTGCTTAAGGAAGGGTTGCATACTATAATATCTTTGTGGTTTTTTGGTTTTGAGAAGTCCTGCAAGTTTATAAAAAAGAAAAAACCTATCTTTTAAATATCATTTAACCTAGCACTTGCTAGGCTTTTTTTCTTTTAAAATAAAACTCCAGAGACGTTTTTTTCAAGGAATGCCATTGGAAGAGAAAAGAAGAGGCAAGTAAGGATGTTATTATGTAGTTTAGGCAAGAAGCAAAGAAAATACT